CTTACGTATAGCAATCGGTCCTTCTTATTTGCACGGAATGAAAAGAGAAGGAGGACCACGTGACGTGCAACGTTTTTTTCAATCAAAAATTCAATCAACTTCATACCTATGATGCGTTCTTGAAAATCGATCATTTGTCAAGCTACGTCAAGTTGAATATCAACCGTGCTTATATCCCTGTCAGACCACAAGCAATGAATAAGTACAAAGAAATACCTAGCATAAGGTTTAAAAGCAGAATAGTAAAATATGCCAAACCGACACATGTGCTAGTCAGCCAATAAAAAGGCATTGTCTCGTGTTGCGCGCGCATACCAGGTAAAAATAGATAGATCTATTCTGACTACAGCTAAAAATAACGAAATGAAAATGTTCATATAAGTTATGCAACGTCGCGCACCGTTGCCAACCAAAAACATCTGAAATTCCCCTACTTTAAATGCGTTGAAAAGAATTTTTAGTTTTGTTAGGTTGGCAGCAGAAATTTACTAAATGTGACGTCATCCTAAATATAGCTTAAAAATCATATAGTGGGAAATCACATAGAGTCCAATATATATTGCTGATTTATATCCTAAATTATACAACGTCGAGATCGCTATTCAATATTCACCCATTTGCTATAATTTATATAACAATAATGCGACGTACGTTTTCATAAGCGAAGCAATCTTTGATTGTTTTTTTTTTTTGAAGACATGATGCAACAACAACAACAACAAGAAACGACTTTCAAAATTATGAGAATGGTATACTTCAAGAGGGGTGTTCATTCATATGATACTCAACATCAAAATGGTCTAGTGTCGGGGTATTGTATACTTAAAAGGTGTCAGGACGGCCCTAGGTACCTGGCCATTAAATTTTTCACTAAACTTCCCAATGCAGTAGGAAACCTACCACCAAGGCAGTTTAAAACTAGGATTAGGGAATATGCTGCGAAAGTAAATTAAAACCTAAGAAATTATGTGTTGTCTTTTGTGCTGGGATTATAATTTTCGGTATTCAAAGCCTTGTTGAATCTACTAACACTTTTCCATCCTGACGAGCGAATATCCTAGCAAACAAATTGAAATAATCAATCTAGAGATATTGGCTCAAAATAACACTTATAGCTGAGTAACCTCAGTACCTGCTAATAGAACTGGCTAACTAACCAAAAACTCTGTAATGAATATGGGTAGTGTTGATTAAAGCTGGATGAGGTGCTTTGAATAAGAGTCCTCTCAACTGAAGCCCCCAGAAGAGGGGCACAATAATAGATCTCTGCAGGTCGCGTGTGTGTAACAACACCCTCAATTCATTTATGTTTCAACGAGGATTTGCAACTCATTATGTAGTCCAGAAAATTGAGCTTAAAGTTCCTGATGAATGATCACCTAGATCCCCAGATTTAACGCCCCTAGACTTTTATTGGGACTACCTAGAAATGTTGTGTTTAACCTTGCAAATGGACTCTAAGAGTGTATCACAAGTCAGGGGTTTGCTTTTTTTAGTCTTAAAGCCATAGCCCAATTTAAATTTCCAAATTGCTACCTTGTATGTGTTTATCGTTTGTTACGATAAATTTATCATTTTCGTAACATGTTCCATTTCTTCTAATTCTCATTATAAAGTTGTATTTTTGCCATTTCAGAATCAGCAAAATAATAATTCATGACTTAAGTAATTTAAAAGTATCTACAAAATTTAATTAATCCAATATAATATCAGTACTGCCATCTATTCATAATGAGCATAAAAATGCAAATATCTGTTATTAAAAGAAGGTACCGCCATCTAGTACCTGATAAATTTATTTTTTTAAATATGATTTTTATTATTTCTCATTGACAGTCATTCGTATTTTCATTTAAAGAAATTGTATTTATCTCACTTTTAGTAAATAGATATATTTCTGTCTTTCTCTAACTTCTGATTCTGAAATAAATATTTTTGGCTTAATGACCTAATTAATTATTAATTAGTGGTTTTGTGTTTTCGACATAACCTTAATTGAAATTATTGTAATTTATTAAGAATTAAAATAATTCTAGTGTGTTTTTATCTATTTCTATATTCTAATCAGCGTGGTATTTCATTGATGAAGTGAATACGGACTTCTGTGTATGTTGAGTGTTGTCTTCTGATTTGTCGATGGTTATTGCGCAGTTAACTATAAAAAAACACAAGATTGATTTCCTGCAGGGCTTAGGTTCTAAAACGGTCTTTTTTCTGGCAGAACCACTAAGCAGACAAGTCGATTTCATTTTTTAAATTTTTTTCTTCAGATTTCTGGATTTTCCCTTAATATTTTTCAATTTATTTTACCATCAGTGTATACTATCATATCACTGTTTAGTTTTACCTGATAAATCTTATCTTATCTACCTTTAAAATATAAATATTATATTTTAATTTTTTTTATTTAATTGTGTGCCTGAGTGTGCCTTCATTTTTTGATTGGTGGTCCCACGTTTTATCTGAGGTAAGTCAATTCAGATTTTTGGGATAATAAATAGGTACTGCTGCTCTGGTTTTCAGAATCAATTGTTAGTGTGGGAATATTGGACCAGTTGCTCTAAATAGAGTCGGTGAAAACCAAATTTGTGTGTCCATCCCTATCAACTCTTTATTGAATCCAGGCAGAGACCTATATAGCCATTTTCTGTTTGACTCCGTCAATTATTACCTTCTCGAGGAGAAGAGTGTTGAAAAAGGGTGTAATTTTCAAAAATAGAAATCCAGACAGGTCAAAAATTCATTTAAAAAGTTTTAATTAAAACATCTCAAAAATTTTGACATATTCTGGATTTGAGTGATTTCACCTCAGGTTTATCTTGTAGTACCTATATAGTAGCTACCTAAATTTAAAAGGAAAATTTTGTCTATTTGGGGGAGAATTTAAAGATTTAATTTCTTGATTTTCTTGCTGTTATTTTTATGATTATTTTTCAATTATTTAATTGTATTATTTTTTTATATTAAAATATTTTTTTTTTTTTTTATTTGCAATAGTTGCTCATACCTGATTCTGTTGGGAGGGAGTGTCTGCACAACAATGGTTTTATAATAAACTAATTTCATATTAATTTTTTGTTCTTTGCAAGACACTCACTTTTTGACAGAATTCAGGGATTTAATATTCCAAACATTGGTGAACCTGATACTGCCTTATTCTTTTCTGGGTACCTACTGGACATTAATATAACTATTTGGAGTCTGGATCAGCTGGAGTGACGTCACCCCAGCAATCTATCCTCTTTCCTGGATACAGAAAACAACAAGAAGAGCTCCAGTTCACGAAAGTGAAAACCCAACATCCCTTGAAGAGCTCCGGATTGGAAAGGAATATTGTATCAGATTCACCAGAATAACTAAGCTGTCAACTGTAAAATTTTACAGAAATTGATTGTTAACACATAATAATGTAAACAAAATAAAATAATTGTTTGTTGGATTTTGAGTGATTTCATTAACACATAAAGGAGCTACATGTTTTCTTAATTTTTTTTGAATTTCACGCACCTAGGTTATCTTATCTTAAAGTTCAAATAACTGAGGTTATCTGTAACAAATTGGCGCCTAACGTGGGGCTACACGTTATCTTATTTTTTTTTAATTCCACGACCCTAGGTTTTCTTATCTTAAAATTCAAATAACTGAGGTTATTTTTAACACACTATGTTAATTGATTGAGTTTAATGTTGCAAGCTTGGAGTTTCTTTTAAATAAATTGGATCTTCAAGAATCAAGTCCAGTCTTTCAATGCTGTGTACCTAAATACACAATACATAGAACCATCTAGCCTACTTGCTCGCATAAAATCTTTGAAGCTAGATGAGTGAGAGTCCTCTCAACTCAAGCACCCAGAAGAGGGACACCATGTTTTAACAAGGATTTCCTATATTTGCAACAAGATTATGCACCTTCTCATTATGTAGTCCAGAAAATTGAGATAGAAGGTCCTGATGATAGATGAACGATCACCTAGACTTTTCCCTGTCGGACTACCTAGAAACTGTTATTTTTAACCTTGCAAATGGACACCAACACAAGTGAAGGGTGCCCTTTTTTAGAGGCAAAATTTCAATTCTTAAATTTTTTAGAAGTTTTATTGTCTGTTATATAATTTGCAGTCTGTTCATCTTCAATGGCATGCAGACGCATGATATTGATGGTTGAGCGTCCCATCCCGACGCCTGCTGATGTCACTATATGTCGACGACGAATCCGTGGTTGGAGGGATAATGGATTCCAAACAACCATTATTTGTGAATGTGTTCCCCTTATACCTTATACCTTCTGCCTCACTCCCATACGGTAACCGTCGAAAGTTGCCGTTGGTCTTCACAACTAACAACTTAAAATTGATGAAAGACTTGATCGACAAGGTAGAAATGAAACAGGTCTTGGAAGCTCAGTTGGTAGAGCGTTGCACTAGATATACGAGGGTCCTGGATTCAAATCCTAGTCGAGGCAAGAACATTTCTCATCAATTTTAATTGAAACGTCTGCATGCCATTAAAATTGAACACACTTTAATTCTAAAGCCATTGCCCCATCCAAATTCCCGAATTGCTACCCTGTATGTGTTTATCATTGTCAAACCGATTTTAGCTTTCGAGGCACATATCTAAAAATTCATAAAAATAAAAAACTGTTCATTTTAATATTCAGCCATCGGTGCAACAAAAGGTTTCCTCACACACAAACCCTTAACAACCGACCCGCCAAAAAGAAAATATCGAATTCGGCACACGTCACACGATAAACGTCTCTAAAACCAAAACCGTCAACCAGTAAAAATTCTACTCTCAAATTTGTTATTCTCCCGTGTTTCGAATGCGGCGCGAACAAAACCGAGTCGATTTGTAAATTTACAACTATTCGCCCTGTCAAAGCCAAAAATAACAAAGAAAAAAACAAGAACCTTGCACACACACCGAAAGGCACGTAGATTGCAGTTGTCGCAATGGTTTACGTAATAATCGTAAATAAAACGGGGACTTTGCACTTACCGCCCAAGTCAGCGTAGAATATGTCCCTGAGGGCGAGGAATTCTTCCTCGGGCGCCATATTAGGGCTCCCAAAACTATCGTTTTCTGGCCAGACTTCCCTGCAACAAGAAAAAGAAAAAGAGACGTAGTATTAGAATTGAAGGTATATGTATGGGTGGGAGGAGGGCTAAAAGTGCGGAGTCAGGCGCCGGTTGTAAATTCGCAATGCCCCAGGAAAGAAAAGGAGTTTATTGTAAAAAGCGAAAGGACTTTCTTTTTCTTTGAATTTATGTGTCTTGTTTTCGTTCAAGGGATTTATTTATGGTATGTTAATCTATAGTATCAAAAAAATTCTATACACATAAAACTACAATTCTGTGAGTGGTTAAAGTCCAGTAAAACGATAAAAGTTTTGCAACAAAGACGCATTGTCGACAGTTTTCGTTACAGCTCCTAAGGATTACCGCGAGGGAATTATAACGCATGGACAAACTTTCACGTGCGGTAAGGGATTTAGAGGGATAAGAGGGCTTGCGAAAGTTGTGCGCGACTTGTGACTTACATTTAGACAATTGCGCGGAAAGAATATTTAATACAATGCTTGTATTTTCTTTCCTATATAATGTTCATAAAAAGGTGTGAAAGGAGTTGAAATATTTGTCAACAATAACTTAGCAGAATATGACAAACATTTTATTAAAAAGCCAAACGGAAAATGACAAAATGCTAATAATAATTGTAAAACTTCCAAACAACTTTTAAGTGTTTTAAATTTTAAATTTATCTCCATCAAACCGCTGCAAAATTTAAAAACTTTTCCGGTCGTCTTAAGTAAACGTTTACATATCAAAAAAAAAAGTACTAATTTGGGAAGTTAAATTTAGAGAGGAGTGTGCATATGGATCCCCAAACTACCCGAAGAAAATGGCTGATATTTCAAGTTGTTAACAAGGGGAACTTAATTATAATACCTGTGCAAACATGCTGACTGCTTAAATTGTAAATGTCAACTAATATTAACATTGGCTTATTTGTAACTAAAAAACCTTGTGTAAGTATAAGTTATATTATAAAACCCTATGATATTATACTAATAATTCTCCTTTCCAATGTTAAATATAAGCATACGCCACTGTAAAAGCCCACAATATTATAAACATGCTTAGTAAGCGGTACTGCCTGGAAAAGTACCGTCATATCAAGGTTTCGCCCACACAGTTGCACTGTCAGCAGTATTTTAATATAAATACGGCGCGCACGGCTTCTCAGCTCATTCATTTGTATTGTAGCTTAGACTTTAGCAATTTAAAATCAAGATTCTTTTGTTATCGGTTTTTCGCCGCAGCAATTAGAGTCTAGTATCTTTTGTTGTAACTTCTTAGTTTTTAATAAAATAAATAGTTTTTAAAAACAAGATTTACTGGACAAAAAATATAAATTATACTTAATTTATTTTGCTATACAATTGTTTCTTGTCAAGAGATGCCTTTGAGCAGAGAAGCTTTAAATCATAAACTTTATATTAATTTAAAGTAAACATTATAACAACAGAAACTGCTTCGAAACTTTTCCTCTTTACCAAAAATCGTTACCCTTTTGGAAATATGACTCGCCTTTGCCAAAGAACACCGGTCTGCATTATGTCTCGCACTCCACAAAGGAAAAAGTTACCCTCCAAAAAGGAGTTTGTGTGCAAGTTTACGCGTCCCCAAAAGCCGAAGGCCTGGAGAAAGAGAACGGGAATCCGTAATAATGCAACTGGGCTACGTTATATCAAAAGGATTATCCACTAAATCCGGAAAAGTTTCAAATCTTTCTTAATTTATCGCCAAAGTTAGTTTGGTAAACTCGGCTTATTAAGAAAAACATGTTAAAGTTTGTAATGGTGGCTTCATCCCGGGGTCTGGCGTTGTAAGATAAGTATTTGAAGGTAATCCGGGTTAAAAGTTTTCAATTTTAAAGGCGACACACCTGAGCAAAAACTTTTATCAGACTTACCTCGCAGCTCTAAGTAGACCAATAGCAGACTCGTAATCTCCATTTCTCAATTTACGCTGGACATTTTTCATTGCGTCAGACCTAAAAAAAAAAAAACAATTTTACATGCAACAAAAACTCCCCTTCAAATTGTACAAAGTTTTTATGTTAATGCAAAAATAAAAATTGTAAAAAAAAAGACGAATCAGCGCTCTGCTTTTTCCCCCCTAAGTCTCGATACTATACATTTGTCACGGCTATTAAGTGCAAAAAGGGCACTCGGGCGCCCCCCGGGAATAACAGACGCCCCATAAAATACGACTTTAGAAAACAATTTGGACGCCTTTGCGACCAGATGGGTTCTATAACTTAATAAGAGACGGCGACTGCCACACACACGGCCAAATACAGATGTACTTCGGGTAAAGGGCACAAAGCAGGACCAACCCCCTAAAGAACGGATATAATTGAATCAAAATTTTCGAGATAAATATTGGATGGACTTTGATAATGTAGGACAATATTCTTAGAAATGTTTTTTTTTTCAACAACTGGAGGGATGTTTCTTGCAAAAGGATCCAGCGCAATCCGCCACCATTTCTAGATGACGAAATCACATTCAACCCAGTGACTATTCGATTCCCAATAGAATTTTGTGTGTTTGTATCTACACTCTCTGTCTAAATTCAAAATTTAGTCATAAAAAAAAAACCTAAATTATATCTATCAAAATATTTTAAAAATGAATTAATTATTAGCGTCTAGGTACTCCTAGATCATTAACACCACGCACCGCCAGTGGGTCACCAGGAAACATAGGCAATACTACAATCTATAGGAGACGCAGCGTCATCAAAATTTTAATTACCAAATCCTTCGATGTGGAGCACACAACAGAATTTTGTCAGCGATTTATTCTTTCAATTAATTACCATTCAGTTCAGTATTAATCCAACAGTGGTTCTTACTCCCCAGTTACCAAACTTCCCGGGTGTACTAACCCAACCTACAAGCCACAATCAACAAACTACTAAGTGTTCCGAGCATCCGCCTAAATTCCAAGACAGAAATTAACATTGGTCCTTCGAGCAAAAAGAAGATAAAGGTTGAAAACCAGCTCTCCGCAAGAGTCCTCCCTATTCTTTAACCTATACACATACACTCGCGCCCTTCGGGGTTAACGTTTGGACACCGGTCTAAACACCTACACAAAAATACCTACATCCCTTCCTTGCTGTAGCAAGCGCCTTGTCTGGTTACAGCATCCCGTTCCTAGTATAGCAAGTGCCTTGTCTGGCTATACACTCCTTCCTACATCTTGTTAATAATCAAATATACACATACACTCGCGCCCTTCGGAGTTAATGCTTAGACAGCGGTCTAAAGCACCTACACATACATTTCTTCCCGCTGTAGCAAGTGCCTTGTCTGGTTGCAGCATCCCATCCTCAACAGACCAGAACAAAGAAATCGGTTCAGATACCAGCAGACAGCAGCAAAAAAAAAACGACAAAAAACACCAGGTCCTGAAGTTAAAGTACTAAGAAGAAGCCGGAACATACCTATACAAAGAAGAGAAAAAAGAACAGATAACCAATAGCAGTAGGCAAAATCCAAGATGGAAGAAGCAAACGAACTCGCTAAAGCACAAGAAACCCTATTTTCCAATTACAAAAAGGACCCCGATGAGAGAAAAAATGAACAATATTTTCTCAGAAAAACTGGCGAACTTCAGTTCATTTGGGAAAACACTGAAGAAAACCATAAACAACTTGACATTCCGACGCATCCATATTTTACAGACGATTATTTTCATCAACTACAGGAATTATTCCAAAAAATCACAAGAAATATTACCGATTACAAACAAAAGCTTCGTCAGGCAACCAAACTACCCGCACAACAAAGAGCCTCATATTACGATCCAAACCAGTACCAGGCACCGAAAAATCGTTTGCAAGAAGAAGAGGTCCGAATGAACCAAATGAGTCAAACCGTAAGGGATATCTCAAACGACCTAATCAGTGGGAAGTCTCGCAACCGTTACCAGTTTCTAGTAGAGAAGCTATCCAAACAATGGGACGTTACCTCTGAAATATACATCGAGCTTCAGGTTCAGGGAATTGACAGTACTATCAAAAATCCCATTCAAGACTTTGAAAAGCGGTACGAAAAAACAGTAAAAAATCTCCAGGACAAGATTCAAGGAGTAGAACAAGTTGTGAAACAATGCAACATAACATTACCTCAAATCAAACCACAAATTTTTGAAGGCCAATATGAAGAGTGGGTCGCATTTCGAGACATTTTCATCAAAGTGGTTCATGAAAATCCAATAATTACAATAGAGAAAATACAGTATCTTCAAACGCATGTGACAGGGGAAGCTGGAATACTGATCCAGCACCTGTCTATAGCAGAAACCAACTATGGCCCTGCTTGGAATATTCTCAATGACAGATACAGTAACAACAGACTTATACTCTCCAAACTACTAGATAGGATCTTAGATCTTCCAGTGATTAATCACGAATCATCATTCAAGAATAAACAGCTTCACGAAACAGTTGTGGAATGTCTTGAAGCCATCAATAATCTAAATATCGATACTTCCAATTGGGGTCCTATTATCAGTCGCATCATCCGCCGAAAATAGGATCATGAAACCAACAAGCTTTACGGACAATCGTTAAGCAACCCCCATGAAATACAGGACTTTGTTGGAATAAGGAAATTTCTTTAAGCAAGATTCCAATCATTAGAAGCAATTTCAGACACACAGAAGAAAACTCGCTCCATCTCAAACAATAATGACAAAGCCAGAAGTACTGATGCTTGCAAGTACTGCAATGAAGCCCACATGATTTACCAATGCCCAAAATTCAAAGCCTTATCATCAGAACTTCGACTGAAAGCTACCAAAGAAAAAAAAACTATGTTTGAACTGCTTGAACCATGACTACAAATCCAAATGCAATTCCTCAATTAAATGCCGTATTTGCAACAACCAGCAACATACATACTTACACGTCGATTCTTTTAGACCACAGCAGTCCAGAAAATCAGCATTCAAATATGATAAAAGAACCGAAATAATAATCATATCAGCCGACCAGATGAAATGACATTCCTGACAACAGCACTGATTAAAATTAGAAATGCTTATGGAAATTATGAAAATTTGATAGTTCTCATCGACCCTGTTTCCCAATCAGAATTTATAACCGAAGAAGCTGCAAGTCTACTCGCCCAGCTCCGACAGAAAATTGAAGCAAAAATTACAGGGCTTGGCACAGGAGAACCACAAGTGTCAAAATCCCAGTTACAGCTATTAATTGGGAAGTTGAAGAGGTCTCACAAACACATCCGTTATCAGAAGATGATCAATATTGCGAACAACATTGCGAAGCCACTACTACAAGAAATACAGATGAGACATACACAGTTAGAATTCCATTTAATGGAAAAGAGAGTCTATTAGGAGCGTCTAGATCACGAGCCGTCGCACGACTGGTTCAATCAGATTAGAGAAAAGAATGAGTAGTAACAAAGAATTGGAAATTGCCTATAAGGAATTTATGCAAAAATATCTAAACCTTGGGCACATGGAAATGCTTCCACATACAGAACTACAACATCAATATATTATCCTACATTAACCGGTATTCAAAAAAGACAGAACTACAACAAAGTTAAGGGTGGTCTTTGATGCTTCCAGTAAAACTTCATCAGGATTGAGCCTCAACAATACCATGTATGCAGGTCCCAAACTACAGCCAGAACTGTCAGATATACTACTACGCTGGAGGTCACATGAAGTAGTGGTACAGGTAGATAAAGATTGACACTGATGACCTGAAGCATCAGAAAATTTTATGGAGATTTGATAATAACACACCAATTAATGAATATTGCCTAACAACTGTAACCTATGGGATGACAGCAGCACCATACTTAGCTATTAAAACATTACAAAAGCTTGCCTACGATGAGAGATGCAACTTTCCGAATGCATCCAGAGCAGCAATGAAAGATTTTTATGTCGATAACTTGCTCTCAGGTGCTGACACTATAGAAGAAGCTCTATCACTACAAGACGAACTTATCAAAATATCTCAACGAGGAGGGTATACGGTGCGGAAATGGTCCAGCAAAAAACGAGAGTTACTACAGAAACGTCTAAATGAACTTAAAGATCAATCAACCGTGGAAATAACTGAAGATGACATAAGAAAGTCTCTAGGTATCCACTGGGCTCCGTATAATGACACATTTAAATTAAAAACTGAAATATCAACCAGTGATAATATTACTAAAAGAAGCATTCTCTCAGAGATTGCTAAGTTATTCGACCCACTAGGATGGTTAGCTCCAATAATCATCAGCGCGAAGCTCCTTATCCAAGAATTATGGCTGCAAGAGCTAAAATGGGATGATCCTGTGCCACTCTTCATTAAGAGCAAATGGGAAATTTTCCGAACAGAACTAAAGTGTCGAGAAAATTATTAGCTATATCCAGGTGGACCTACAAAGCAAAAAACAGTCACGTCGAACTACATGGCTCTTGTGATGCCTCCGAAAAGGCATATAGAGCCGTAGTCTACATGAAAGTCAAGAATTCCCTGGATGAAACAAAAATAGTTCTGCTAACAGCTAAATCCTAAGTAGCACCGAAAAGAATGGAAGTTACGTCGCCAAAACTAGAGTTATGTTCTGCCGTGCTTCTTTCACATTTACTAAAAAAGACTGCTACAACCTTATCACTACAAGATACCCCTGTACATGCCTGGACAGACTCTACAATAGCCCTATCATGAATAAAAGGAGTCCCGTCCAGGGTAGAAGAATTTTGTAGCCAACCGAGTAGCAGAAATCAACAAACTTATTCCACATCAACTAGGGTTTCACCATGTTCAAGAAATTTCTTGTTCTTGACTTGATCTTGAATTCAAGAAAATTTCACGTCAAGAAATCTGAAACTGTTTTCAAGACAAGTCAAGATTACCTATCTCAAGATCAAGATTTTTTGTCTAGAAACCAAGAAATTCTTTAATTTTTTGAAATTATCAGTATTATAAGTGGCTGTAATAGTATACTAAAAT